GATTATCGGTGCGCCTGCTAACCCACAAAACCAGCAGTTTGAAGCCACCAGTTAGTCTCAGAAACCTATTGGGTCAGTCCTACAAGGGTCATGCTGAGTGGGCAAAGGCAGTGATGATAGGAATCATCAGTTTTGTACACCCTCCCCCCTCAGTCCTTTCCCATTGACAGTCTCCAGTTTGGGGCACCTAATCTTTGAGTCAAAAGGAAGGATAGTATGTAGATAAAGCTAGGGCAAAATCAAGAAATGGATAGGATAGCAACGTTTTTTGTCTGTTTTGCCTGAGTTAAATTTCTTAGCAAAGTCTGGTGACATTTCCTTTGTACCCAAGTAAGCCTTTTGAAGTTTTTTGGGCCCACTTTACTGTTTCCATCCCCCTCCCACCCCTTTGTGACTTGTGGAACCCACAATTGGATTAACCATAATCCTGTTTCCTCCCTGGTCCCCATGGCTTTTTGAGGACCCAACCACTCCCCTCAATGTAGATCAATTGTATCTATCCACATCCGCTGGTTTAAGTTGTCCCCCCATGGGTAGCATCTACTCTGAATTATGCATTCATTATTCATGCTCACACCTTAAATGACTTGCTCATTTAATATTTTAAAGCCTATACTACGACAGATAGCATTTTCCCCTCATTCACACTGAAATGAAGCTGTATAGCTCACTTGACACAGCTCATCTTTCTCATCTGTAGTTGGACTATCCACTGTCCACATTGTTTCCAGTTTTGTGGTCTCAGTGCAGTTGAAATTGTTTCTCACAGGAATTCCTTTTGTATGGTTTCCTGGTACACATACACAACAGTCTAGGAGAGACTTCTTGGATTGTAGAGGATTTTGCTTTCATTCTCATGTAGTTTAATACTGACTCCTGTATGACAATTCTAGACTTTTCCAAGTGAGTAGTGTATCCATTTTGGTATTTCCCCCTACACTTCAAATCAGCAAGTTACTCATTTATCTGTGCCCTCTTACAATTGTTGTTTTGCTTTTAGCATTTCTTTCATCTGGAGTTGACATTTACATGACATCCGTTATCAACAAATAATTGTGTGAAAACTTTCATGGCTTTCCGCTCCAATTTTTCAAAAAGTTCCTATTGCATTGCAATTCATCTTTTATTTGTAATCTTTCAGGTGTAGAGCACTGGGCATTTCTCCCCAACTATATCAGGGGTCACTGATGTGAAGAACCTACTTAGACAGCTAATCCTTACCCTTAATCATCTCATTGGGTTAACATTGCTACAAACTTGGTGATCTGCTGAGCAACTCTGTTGTGTGGACTCTGTTATGTAGAAAAAGTTCTTCAGGGGACTCCAAAAGTATAGTGACTAAATGTCTATGTTCAGCAGTGTGGCCACAAACATCTCTGGGCTAACATGCTATAAATTAAGAAATTAAAATGTTTAGCAATTGGATGCTAGAAACAAACATTTTAAGACCTCTAACCATCTTGTGGAATCCTAAAGCATTGAAGATGAGAAGCAGATTGCACACCATCTCTTCCTACACTACTCTTACAAAAGCAGTTTGATGCCATCTTCATCTTGAGACTTTTGAACATACTGTATATACTAGAATATAAGCCAAACTGAGCACCAGCCGAGGCACCTAATTTTACCACAAAAAACATTAAAAATGTGCTGAAATACTCAGCTTACACACAAGAATATATGGTATGTATTCCGCTGCTGCAACAAAAACCCTTAAGCAGTCCAGTAACTGATCCAAACCAAACATCCAAGAAAGCATAGCCCACATTGAAAATACTGACAGGATGTTCAAATTGTAGAATCAGAAATCAACCGATCACTTAATTATGAGGTGGCTAGTTTGGAGGTGAGGCTTTCTACTACTGTAGATTTAATCACAGAAGTCACATAGGCAATGCTACCCTGTCCTATAGGGTCTCTCAGTCAATGGCACTTGAGTCTTAGGCTGAACTTCCAGCTATTTCATGGAATAAACTCAGTGTAAGCAGTACCTAATGGTCATCTATCTCTGGCATCTAGGGTGATTGATGACAATTGTGCATAAATGTTTTCTTCAATCAGAAGAGTCAAGCTTGTTGAAGCATGATGGTTGGACAAACAAAAAATTTGAGTAACAGTAAGACTTCACCACTGACAGAGCCACCAGTCATTTAATCAGGATTTTACTTAGGTTGAGATTAAACCACAAATGATTTAAGAATGTAGCTTTGATGAGTCATGTGTTTTGAATTTGGTGTATGGGTGAAAGAAAAACTACTGCTGTCTCTAGTTAAGCCATGTCTTGTCATGCTTTTAATCCTTTCCACCGCACCCCACCCAGTCCCTCTTAATATGATTTGTATAGCACAAAATGACAATGGGTCAGAGATGCAGGAAGTTAAGCTGATCCCACTGCTGCCTCGCTCTCCATGGGACAATACTGCCATGGTCAATTAAAACAAACAAAAGCAATTCCAATACTTCATACACACAAAGCACAAAACTCCCCAAGTTCCTGGAACTAGTGCATTGTATCAACAAAAAGAAACTCAAAACTCTGGATTGGAGATTAAAAAGTTAACAGGTAAAAAATCAAATCAATGATTCATTTTGAATCCCAAGGTAAAATTAAGTCATATTGAAAATCTTTTAAAAGAGAAGCTGACATTTTAAAGGGATATAAGAGGTTAAATTAACAGGTAATATTAATGAAGCATACCATTTTTTCCCCCAGATTCAAACTAGATGAGTGATGAACATAAATTGCTAATAGGCAAATGTGGCATGTTTCAGATTTTATTTATAATCAAATGAGATCCATCTCCTCAGTCTAGCTTAATTTTCCTTAGCTTTAATTTATTTCACCTTCTTGGCCTGGAATCAGGAGAAATAGTCAAAAAGAATTTTAAGTGAAGATGCATTCTTATGTGGACCATTATTTTCTAGATCTTTTCTTGAAACAAAGACACCCTCCCCCCCACCTCCCCCATTGCACTTTTATTTGAAGGTAATACTGGGGACAATTTTCCACAAAGGCTGATAATTACCAATTTAATCTGAGGTCACAATAGAACAAGCAAATAAAACAGTATTTGGGATTTCAGTTTCTCACCCTTATCATCCAGACTCACTGCCTCCCATCATCAATATTTATTGAGCATTTACAGTGTACTAGGCACAATAGAACATACAGAAAACATTGTCCCTGCTCTTGAGGAGCTTACATTCTAAAGGGGGTCGGGTGGGGGAGAGAATACACCTTATTTTTGTGTGGTGTTTTCTGCAAGGTACTGAGGAGATAGTCTGTAAGGTGAGCCTTGGGATATAACTTAGCCCCATCATTATGCAGAGAAGAGAGGGAAAGAAAGGATTTAAAGGCAGACGATGACAGACCATTCAGGATAAGGAAGGCTTACAGGGAGATAAACACAATCTCACCAACTAAGGAGATGTGCTGCAGTAAATAGGATGAGGGAATCGTTTGTGGGATGCAAGCAAAGGAAGCAGGGTTTCTTAGACGTTGAGTGGAGCCAGAAAGATCATGCGGCCTTTTTCCAAGTACATGGCCACCACGTAGAAATGGTTGGTGACAAGACAGAATAAGGCTAAAAAAGGAAGGTGACCTTGTGCACCTGACAAATCGAAAGAACGAAAGGATCAAAATTGAAGGCAGGCGATAAGAATATTAAGAAAAATTTAAAAACCAAACGTGATTTGGAAGCACAAAAACAGTTAATGCTACCCAATGTCACAATAAACCAAGAACATTGTGGCTTCCCAAGTGAGAAAATGCCATATACCCAAAATTTTAATGGAACATATTAGTTTTTTCTGTTCAATCTCCCTTTCAAAGTAGAAACTAATTGAGGGGAGAAAGGGTAGGATCAGACATGGTTGGAACAGTAGTAGTTATATTAGTAGTATTTTTGCCATTATGATAACTTTGTATTTAAACTTGGTAAAAGCCCATTAGCTAGCTGCCGAGAGGGAATAAGGAATAAATTTCCAAAAATGTACAATTTCCTTTAGAGAAGTTTCAGAATCAAAAAAGTAATTTACATGAAGAGCTGTAGAGAAAGTAGTTGAAAATTCCATTCATAAAACTTTTATTCCACTTACATCAACTTAATACATGTTCTTAACAATTATGCTTGGATTGTTCATGAAAATTTCGTAAGACATTAAACAAAGCTAGCCATCATCTCAAATTATTTCCCTGTTAACTATTTTTACAGCACATGCATGTTAGGCAAGTATCAAAAAAAAAAAAATCACAAAAGCAAAAACCTAAAAAAAGTTAAATACATGGGTTTTTTTTACTGCTGCGCTTGATATACATAAAGTAATGGATACCAAGCAATTCGTTTTTACTGCATCTTTACTTGTACATTTGTTCTTAGGTTGCCTAAAACATTTAAATACAAAGGAGTGTAGCAAAAATAATGAAAGCAAACAGCAGGTAACTTTACAAATAATGGAATGTGAACCGTTTCTGCCCTTCTCCAGAGTAAATTGGGTCACAACTTTGTGTAAAGGAGCACGCACTTCTGCAGCTGCAGGCGAAGGTGTGCAGATTGTGTGTGTATTCCATAGATACACATGGCTCAACATGTACTATCCGTGGGATATCTATTTCAACCCCAGCCTTGCTACGTGCTCCGATCTTTAAAGTACCCACAATAACTACACTTGTGACTGGAACCAATTCTCCCTTTATCCCCCACCAGGCCAAACCAATATGTAGGCAGTTTTCTTTGCTGAGAAATGGAAGCAGTTTTAACACTGGCCCTCGTGAAGCCACAATGTACCAAAAGTACTATGCCAAACACTTCTAACTTGTATAAAAATTCCACATCCCCATATTGGCCATCTCAAGGTGAAAACAGGTAACTGGCTAACTGTTAACTGGCTCTACTCCCCTAATATTAAACATAAAAACCACATGGGAAATATAGAAATTCAAATAGAAGTAACATAAACCTGTCATAAATCGTAAACAAAAAACTATTTGTGGGACAGCATGGATGACAAATGGTCTACTGTGTAAATTTTAGAATGAGGCAGACAAAAGTTGGAAGGTTGGTTAATTTTCCCCTCCTTCTCCTGCTTCGGCTTCATCTCCTTGGGTATCCGATGTCCACAACTGTTAAAAGAAGGAGAGAGTTTTCATTTTGAAGAGAGAAAAAAAAAGGGTAACTTTTCCTTCTGCATATGTCAACCTAATAGAACATAAAGTAGTTTTAGTCGGAAGGCTCTGTTGAAAAGTAAGCAGCACTGAAAAGACTCTCTCGTATACATTTCACTGCATTCACCTCCCCCCACCATTTTGTAAGCACAGTAAGTCTAACAGGAGTGGTCTTCAAATGAGAGATAAAGGAGATAAAGGAAGATGTATTCATAGAAAGCAAAGAATACAAGAAACTATGAAGCTAAGCATTACAAAAGAGGAAGTAACAAATGCTGTTGGAAAAGGAGAGCTATGATATGCTAGCCGAGTGCAACCATACCAGAATATAGGATTCATCCTGACAGAAAAGACAATGAAATCCAAAAGTCAGCATCACATCGGAATTAAACTATGACTTCAGTTTTTCATACTTTTGTGAATGTATACAACTCAAAATTAAAGAATGAACACGAGATACAAGAAACAAACCCTCAAAGATGAGTTACTTTTGGAGGAGATGGTTGTTTCATAGCATTAGGGTTATAACTCTATTACACCTTTTCAGCAGCTTACGAAACTTCAACATTGTTGGTTCAACAGATTTCAATATAAACTTTAAAAAAAGCATTTTACTACTATACAAAGCTTAGGCTTAAACTTGTTTGTGGAAAAATGGAATTAAATGAGAATGTAATTTTTCCATTACTTTTGTAAACTCCTCAATATAATGACTTTAAAAGGGGACTTATGGAAAGATTGGCTCAATGACCTTAAATTATATGTGGTTTGTGCACAGCAAAAATGACACACACAAAAAGCAAAGCAAAAAAAAAAATTCAAATTATTTTTTTTCTATCTCCTAAATATACATCCACCCATTTCCCCCTTATGCCTGGAGAGAGGAGATATCTCCCAACGTCACAGTGCTAACCAAATGACCCAAGAAGAGTCTGTGTGCTGTTCAACAAAGAGTTAAGACAAGATGAAATTGCTCTAGTGTTTCTTTTTCAGTCCAATCCTCAGACTCTTAAATGCCCTATATAAACACACAAGCTCCCTTTTCAGGTCAATGGGTGACAATACTGTGTTGCTCAATCAGACTAAGACTCGGCTTTTGGGTGATGGGTTGAACCTTTTTCCTATTTAAATGATCCAACCAATGACGGCAGCTCATACTACCAAGGCTCAAAAACATGTGGCATGCGCAATGACAAGTGAAAAGTGTACATTTTTCTCTTTCTCAGACTCATGAGATACAGTACATTCACTAAGATGATGCTATACTGAACCTAAAAATCAACCAGTAGCTAAATAGGCTGCTTAGAAAGTGCTGTCAAAACATTGTAACTAGGTCCCAAGTTCTAACTTTTTAGAATGAGAATTCACATGTCATGGCATACTAGTGACTTGGATATCCACTCAGGAAAAGTAACCCATGAAAATGCAGACATCTGTACATCATTCTCAAAACATTTCCTCTCACCCTCTCACTGCCTCACTCAGTGGGCTCACTCTCACTCTTTCACTGTCTCTTTCACTGATTCTCACTGTCTCATTCCTCACTGCCTCACTCACTCTCTCACTGCCTCACTCACTCTCTCACTGCCTCATTCACTGACTCTCACTGTCGCATTCACTCACTGTCTCATTCACTGACTCTCACTGTCTTTTACTCCCTGCCTCACTCTCACTCACTCAGTGCCTCACTCACACTCTCTCACTGTTTCACTCACTCACTGCCTCACTCAAAAAAAAGAAAAAAAAAGAAAATGCAGACATCACAATAGAACAGTGGCCAGCATGCATACTTTTGACATGTCCTCGGGAAAGATCAACTGCTAACAGGAGGAGGATGTGGAGTTTGGGGAAGGAGAGAGCATCCCTTACGTGAGGAGGGTGACAGAGTAGCTGCAACTACGGACTTGGACATGCTGGCAAATGTGAGGATGAGACAACACTGATGACTATTGCCATGAGTCACACAGACTCAACAGCTGACTATGTAAGGAGGCAACATTTCAGACCCAAAAAATGCCTTCATGTACATTTAAAAAGTGGGATTTAAACATAGTCTCAGTACACTTTTGATCTCCCTCAAAAAACAAATTTTCTGTGACTGACCGGTAAAAACATGATTAAAAAGGGAAAGTCTTGGTCTAGGGGAAAAAACAACAATAAAGCAGGGACTGTAAGCAGATTATAAAATTATTTAAAGTTTTCACACTAGACATGTGAAGTGTCCTTGATACCAGTTTCTATAAGGTACTTTTATTCATATAGCTTTAATAGGATAAATGACAGAAAATAATCTTTTAGTAATCTGTCAAATAGTTTCTTAAACTGTAATAACTGATAATCTACAGTTATATATGATCATGAAATTCAGTTTAAAGACCCATTTAAATAATGGCCTAAGAGTTCAAAATACTCCAGTTAATTCACAAAACAACATTTAGAAGAAAATTAAAATTTGGAATTGTTCTGTTGTAGATTCAAGATAGCTGCTAATAAAGATGAGTCAGGTGAGACATACTAATTATAAAACAAAACACTGTTGTTGCTAGGTGCTGTCGAGTTGGTTCTGGCTCATAGCAACCTATGTGAGCAAAACACTGCTTAGTCCTATGCCACCCTCACAGGTGGAACCGTGTGTCAATACCTCACACATTGAGTCTTCCTCTTTTTGTTCCCCTCTACCCTCTGTTGACCGTTTACACCAAGCACAATGTCCTCCTCCAGGGTCTGGTCCCACTTGATAATATTACAGTCAGCAAATTAACTCTCACTGCTTTATTAAAATCCCAAGATTTTTTTTATTCATGTTAACAAAAACCATTTAATGGTGCTGTAATGTACTTACTGTCAAGTTGTCTCTCAGTAATTGCATTATTAGTGTGCTGTCTTTGTATGACTCTTCACTTAATGTATCAAGCTCAGCAATAGCTTCATCAAAAGCCTATGAGAAAAAAACCTATTTTAGTACTCAGATAATAAGGATTATTAACTTTTCATAAAATAAGTTAAATACATACGGTCTTTGCAAGAGAGCAGGCTTTCTCCGGGGAGTTCAGAATCTCATAGTAGAACACAGAGAAGTTCAGGGCCAGACCCAATCTGATAGGATGCGTTGGTTGCATTTCCTTTTTACTGATTTCAAAAGCTTCTTGGTATGCTTGTTGTGACTGATCCACAATCCCTGCATATTAAAGAACCAAAATGTACTGAGAAAGACTTGTACTTTAGCTAACACATGTTCTGAAATATAAGTTAGTAACATTCTTGACTGAATGGCACCCTTTAATAATAAAATAAATAAAACATAAACAGGTGCTCCCTGTAGGATAGATCACAATAGCCATGGGCAAACATCAAGTCATAAACTGTAATCATCTCAGTATTGTAGCATATTTAAAAGTATGCCCTACTCAATTGTTTTCTTGTGATGCCTATTTCTTATAATGGTATAGAAATATCCCTCTACACAAAACTGGCTTTCCAAAAAGCATATTTTCCTAACACCTTATTGGGCAGTAGATATATATTCTCAGGACTAAAAAAGAGCTTACCACTTTTTTTTTTACAGTATTTTTTAGTGTTATAAACATTTTCAAAACAAAAGTTTTTGCTTCAGAAAGAGACTCTCTACCATGTTATTTAACACAAGATTTAAAAAAAAAACAGCTTACCTTTCTTGTCATCACCAGCAGCAACCTCAGCCAAGTAACGGTAGTAATCTCCTTTCATTTTCAAGTAGAAAACTTTGCTCTCTGCTTGTGAAGCATTGGGGATCAAGAACTTTTCCAAAAGAGACTGAGGAAAAAAAGAAAATAGTAATGAAGCATTTGTAAAACAAACAATTTACATTTCTTAAAATCACAGTATAGTCAAGCCCAATATTTAAAACATCTATGCCATGATTTCTGAATACCAACAGGGTTAGCCAAGCCAAGTTTCAGCAGAGTTCAATATATTATTTTAAGCATTTGAATACTGATCCCCTCATCCCCTCCTGGCTTTTATTTAGGAACATCTTTTTAACAAGCTGGAAAACTTTCCATTTAAATGTAGTCAGGACAACAGAGCCCAAGAGCTCAACCCCTCTCAACTAGCTGCTCTGGAGGACTATTACTTTAGTAGAAATCAATACAGTAATGGACAATGCAAAAAACATTGCGAAAAGAGAATTACACTTATATAAGAATTACACATGTAAGAATACAATTCAAGTTAAACTTTACAAGAGGTAAAGCTTTGGAAATGTTTTATCTAGATTTTTGGCTAGTTAAGATTTACAGATTACATTACAGATTACCTGAAGCAAAATATATTAAAACTTCATCTAATGGTATAATTTTATTCAAAATCACTAGCAATAACTTAAAGCCTAACATGCTAATAATTATACAACTGATTTAAAGCAAAAAATGAGAGCATTGTCTATTATCACCTTAGTGTATGGGGGAAAGGGGAGAAACATAATGTAGTAGATTTAAGGGTTCAGAAAAAACATAAAAAGAATGAGGTAAAGATAAAAACAAAACAAAAACAACCCTCTCTTTCCTCCTACCAAGTACAAGTATACTCTGGAAATAAAGTCTATTTTTTACCGAGTTGAAATAATTTCAAGGGAAAAAAAAAACTGTCTCTTGGTTTCTCTTCTGGGCGGCAGCCACCCCCTGGTATGCTGCTGTATATCGATATGAGCTACCTGCATGCAAAAATAGTTTAGAAAATGCCTTTTAAATGTTAACTTTGTGTGCTTAGTCTGAAATGAGTTGCAATTACCCTGTACCAGAAGTACACTTTGGGAAGGACAGCAAATTTGTATTAAGTCTGTCCCCATACCTTCAGATTCAAAGACTTCTCAAATGAAAGAAAAAAAAGAAAAAGGTGTTTAAACGCATTTAAAAAAAATCATTTTATCCAGGACGGATGAGCCCTATAGGACCAGTGGTGTGAGTGGCAAAACAGGGAGGGTAAAGGGAGAGTGGGTAGGAAAGAGGGAACCGATTACATGGAACTGTGTATGACCTCCTCCCCGGGGGACAGACAACCGAAAAGTGGATGAAGGGAGACGTCGGACAGGGCAAGATATGACAAAATACCCATTTATAAACTATCAAGGGCTCATGAGGTAGGGGGGAGCGGGGAGGGAGGGGAAAAATGAGGACCTAATGTCGGGGGTTTAAATGGAGAGAAAATGTTTTGAGAAACGATGTACAAATGCGCTTTACACAATTGATGTGTGTATGGATTGGGATAACAGTTGTATGAGCCCCTAATAAAATGTTAAAAAAGAAAAAAAAATCATTTTATCGGGGTCTCGTACAACTCATCACAATCCAAACATACATCCATTGTGTCAAGCACACATTTATACATTTGTTGCCCTCATCATTCTCAAAACATTTGCTTTCTGCTTGAGCCCTTGGTAGCAGTTCATTTCCCCCCTTCCCTCCCAAACATATTCTTTTTCAAAATACTTATGGGTGCCTCAAACATCCGAGTGATGGTAAGTAAGCATTGTAACCTTGGATTTAAATTTGGCGCTCCATATTGCGTAACCTACTTAATCTTATATTTCAGTTGTATTTTCATCTATAAATTGGGATTACAAAAACTTCTACTAAAAGGTGTTGAGAAAAAAAGTGCAAAATGCCAGCTGTTGCAATCTTCTACATCACACCATAGAAGCTAGTTCATAAACTAATACTTTACAAGATATCTAATACAAAGCAAGATGCTGAAGATGAACCTAAGACACAACTGTGGAGTAACTTTAGGTTGGGAGGGATAGGTTGTGTTTTTGATTACATGGGCAAAAAGTTAATACCGAATTAGCTATAAAATCTACCTGAGTAAAGAATTAATGTGACGAAACAGAATTCATATATAATTTCAAATTAAACAGGGAAAAAATGTATTAGAGAAGGCCCCATAACATTGTGAGCAGCTCTCTAGTTCACTTTACATATACTGAAAACTATTCTATGAATCACTTGAAATAATGAAAAAACTGACAGCTGAGAACATACATGAAAAGAAAATGTCCATCTAGGTGTCCCTGTTTCATATTTTACTACTTCAACACAATTTATATATTCTTTTATTCTCCAGATACTTTAGTGCCATTTTACTAGGTATTGAGAATGGGACAGCAAAACATTCTCTGAATGCATGGATGAGGGCTCGCTCTAGCAGGGAAGAAAATGAAAACATCTTAATTGTGCCCTTCACTTTTGAATGATTTTATTGAACCCACTCAAGAATGGAGAGGATTAAAATCACAATCACATGCGGTTAGGGAAGGGTGAATTACTCTAGAAAACAAAGTACACATGGTTTGTTACCATGGCAAGATGCCAATGAATACTACCCAATTTAGCAATCTATGAGTAGTAACTTGTGTCTATTAAAATATATATATATATGTTTAAACCATTGCACTGGAGTAATGTATACTGAACTAAGAAACTAAGAATTAGTTCCCTCAAAGTGAACACTGGATTAGCCCTGCATCTGGCTTAAAGCAACTTTGTTTTTTCTCACAAAGAGAACTTAATAGGAGTCTTCCAGCAGAGAGAAACCACCCCACCACAGCTAGCATGGGTCTCTGGAGCTTGTCTCTATAGCAACTTTCCAACTATTAACCAGACTCCAAGGAGACTGAAAACTAGCTGTGATTCCCTGAATTGGTCTCGTGAATATCAACTGTGACAAATATCGCTGGTGAGATGCCACCTGAAGTTGAAAAAGGAATAAAGTGGCATATTTACCTATCATACCTTTAGATGTCATAAAGCTAACAAACCAATAAGAGTTTTAAAAACTGATAAAGACTGGATTAAAAGTTAGATTTAATAGGTCTAACACTTTGTTCCAAATATGAATTATATTAAGAACAAAACTGTGGTAGACTTCTCTAACCACTGTTCCAATTCTGGACCTAACCTTTAAAGGTCTGGCAGCTTCCCCCTTTGCTACACTGGAGCCCAAAGCCAAACTACCCAGCTGGAGAGAGAGGGGCCCCATGCAAGCCATAGGTGGTTTACTCTTGCTAAGTACAGCCAGCTGGAGTAGGTCAGCCTCAGCTCCACTCTCAGCTGAACAAGCCAGGCATCCAGATTCAAGCAAACTATTAACTAGAATCCACAAGTTACCAGAGGGCCAGATTACTTTCCCCCATATAAATTAATAGTCATTGCTTATACACTATTTCCATGTAGGAAAGGAATCATACATAGCAAAAACCCTTGCTAACACCAGAGGAAGAACTCACTCACCAAACACAAGCCAGCCAAACCACAGAACCATGAAAAGAATGCTGGAGCCTTGCTTTCTCAAAGCTCAATTTTATAATGTGTCACTAAAGCTTTTACAGAAGACCCACATTAGCACTGGTTTTAAGGAAATGGCAGAAATCTGAAGAGGATTTTCACTTTTATTTTAAAAGCTAAACTAGCATCCACTCTTTATTTTGCAGCTAGTAGCGTTGAAAAGGCAGTGCACCACCCAGTTGCTTCCCAGGGCAATGACTGCAACTCAGCATCAAGCCACCATAGACTTGCACTGGGTTCTATGAGCACTGTCAGTCTAGGGTTTGTGCATGATCTGGCAGCATATCTGGGAGGCCTGAGAATAATAGGTTTACACTTGTATATAAATTAATGATAATTTCTTATCCACCATTTCAGCTTAGTAACCATCCACCTTTGAATAAAGGAGGAAACTTGTAAGGCATTGTCTTAAATTTTGGATGGCTCACTATAAAGAAATAAGTAACAGACAGGTAGGTATAAGGCTATCTCTAATTTTAGTAATCATAACCAAAATCATCATAGTAATCACACACAGCAGTTTTGAACACGTAGATTAAGTACTTTCTGTTAAGTATACACTACAATTATGGCGTGATTTTTATAGAGGGCAATGAGCCCTCACTTCGAACCATAGCTTGTAAAGGTGAACTTCGCATCTTACCCATATTCCTAACACGTTACATTCTCTGCCTCAATATTGTGACATCACTACTAAAAGAGATGTGAAGACTCGGTGATATAATGATTAGAAATCAAAATGCAGGAAAAAGATTCAGTTCCATATTGTGCTGATGAAACAATACATGGATTTTTTTAATGTATCAAGACAGACACTAACAAATTGTACAGTGTGCAAGAGAACAAGGAGAAATAGTAAGGAATCTAAAGTGTCATGAGGTCAGAAGGAAAGACTTGGGCATTAAGGTAAGACAGGAGAGCCTCCAGAGGACAAAACCACAGATGCTAATGAGCCAGAGAAAGGTTTCCATTCAAGACGGGAAAGCACTGTCGGTATGTTCCAAAAACTGGAAGAGGGCCTTTAGACAGTGAGCTCTACTTTTCTTCAAGACTTTTAAAAACTTAAGGATCACTTGGGCTATTTTGTAAATGGGACTCATAAACCCGAATGTGGTCTCTTACCATTTTAAGAGTAGACAGAGGAACATCCTCTGAATTAATTATAATAAAAAAGCAATTAAATGTTAATTTGTCAACTTAAAAAGGAAAAGGAAGCAGCACCAATCAGAAGGCAGGAGAGCCAAGAAAAGCAAACTGAGCAGAAAATACGAGGAAAGAACTGTAAGCGACCCTTTTTTTATAGCATACAAAAAGTTCAGCAAACATTCCAGGTTAGCTAAAACACACAGCCTACTCGACTACTGCAGAATGACAAGGAGAGCAACTTGGGGCATTGCAGGGATCTGAATTAAAAAGGGTGAGACCAAAGAATTATGTAATAAGCCAAGTAAATAAAGCAGGCCAGGAGCAATA